GAAAATAAAACTTGGGATATAGAAAGTATGGAGAATCTGAAAAAGAAACAAAAAAAAATACAAATAAAAAGCCCCCGAAATATTCTGGGTTGTTTTGAAAATTAAAAAAAATTATATAAAAAACAGATAAACAAACAAAACCTAATCACTAATTATATAAATATTAAATGATAAAATTAAAAAAAACATGAAATTAAAAAAATAAATAAACCAAGTAAACCAAGTGATCATTCTGAACCTAAGTTGGGATCTCAAACCCGTATCTATTAAATCCTAGACACGTGCTAAATCAAAAAAATTTAATTCTCAACTAATTTAATATTAATTAATCAAAGCATATCCAACAAATAAAATAGAAAAACCCAATAAAACCTTGATTATTTTCAAAATCAGTGAAAAATCTTATAAAAAATAAATAAAAATAACAAAGCATGGTTTTTAATTTCATAAATATTGCGGAATGAAACTTAAAAAACATAGCTTAAATAAATGGGAGGATAAAAAAAGGCACACCAGTGTGAATCTCTTGTAGCTTAAACCTGAGTTAATCTTTAAAATTCAAAGCCAGTGAAATCATAGATCCGAACTTAATCAAGAAGCTCAATTCTCAAACCAATCTGATATCAAATGATAGAATTAAAAAATATCAATTTTAAAATATGTTAAAGAAACAAAAATAGTAATAAAAATAACAATAATCAAATTTGGTAAGAAAACAAACTTAAGGATAATGAAATTTAAAAAAAAACAAAAATTTATTTCAAATAAAATAAATAGCATTTAAAAGAATAAGGACTAAATTTGAAATATTAAAAAATTAAAGAGGGTTAAATTGAAATAAAATTAACTTTAAAAATTCTTTTAAAAATTTATTCCAAATATTTAAGGATGGAATAAAAAAAAAATATTGATTTAAAGAAATAACCAAAAAAACCCAAAAAATAAAGATAAATAAAAATATTCACAAGAACAACAAAACATTATATAGAAAGTAAATACACAAAAAGAACAGAACCCAATCTTCAATTGAATAAATATAAAAAGATAAAAATAAAGAAATCTAGCTTAAACAAAAGAAAATAAAAACCAAGAAAATATGGTGTAAACCTCCTAAACTTGATCTAATCTATAAAACTCATGACTTGTGAAATTATAAATTTTAATATAATCAAAAAGCTTAATCCTTAATCAATTTAATATTGAAAAATAAAATTATAAAAAAAAATATCAACTTAAAAAACTTTTCAAAGTAACAAAAATAAAAAAAATAAAAAAAGAAGATTAAATTTGATTGGAAAAAAAACTAAAACAAGATGAAATTGTAAGAAAAAAAATTAGAAAATGATCTAAAAAAACAAATAGTAATTAAAAGATCATGAATCAATTTTTAAAGATAAAAAAATAAAAAATGAAATTAAAAAAAAATAATATTTATATAAATTATTCAAAATAAAAAAAAATAATCAAAATGACAAAGACCATATGTTAGGGGAAAAAATTGAAGGAGCTGGCTTTGAATCTTGAAGGGAGTGGTATGGAATTCAGGGTAGATAGAAAGAAGAATGATAAAAATGAACATAATGATAGAAAAAATAACGTGAGGTAATCTATCAAATTTACATCTTGAATTATAAGACTAGAATAATTTAATAAAAAGCAAGTTAAAATAAATTATAAAGTTTAATTTTTAATTAATCTAATGTTTAAAAATGAATTTTAAAAAAATATATTAAAAGGCATAAAAACTGGCTTGAATCAACCCGAATTAATTCGGCAAACTCGTGACCCAAGTCACAAGATGGAAATAATATTATAAAAAACAAACCGAAACAAATCATGAAGCATAATTCCCAATTAATTCGATATTTTATGATGAAATTAGAAAGAAAAACAATTAGAAAAAGAAAAAAATAAATTCATTGAATTAACCCGTCAAACTTGTAACCCTAATTATAAAAATAAAATAACCTTATTAAAATAAATTAAAAAAGTATAAAGTCCAACCCATAGTAAATCTAATATTGAATGGTATAATTGAAATTAAAAAAAATAAATTGTAAAACAAAACCAAATAAAGAAAACACTATTATAGTAATTAGTATTCTGTATGGAGGAATATATTAAAACCCCTCAGCTTTTAGTGTTTTTTGTTAATTGTTAATAATTAAATATTATTGTCCTAGCCAATAACAAAAATCTTATATTACAAATACTGATTTCACTAAATCTTTTTATTTTAGATTAAAAAATTATATTTATGAGGCTACAAAATTTTATAATCTTTAATTTTTTTAATATATTAATTTAGATATGAATAACCAATCTATCTTAAAACTTGGTTTAAAAAATATTTAGAATCTTTAGAATTTATTGTATTTTATTAATGTTTTATGATAGAAATAATAGATACAAAAAGAACATAAATCGTATTTGACTGGAGAAATGAAGATAAAGATAAAATTATAAAATAATTTTTTATATACAATATTTTTTATATTGAATCTATATCATTGTAAAATTAAATATATATAAAATATATTTTATTTATCTCTGTTTTTAAAGAAAATAACCAAATGGTAGTCCCAAAATAAATGGCCTATATACAATAAATGTTGTTTTTTTAATAATTTAAAATTAAAAAATATATTATTTGCAATGAATAAAATTAGGATTACGATCAAATTCTGAAAATACTACGTCATAAAGCAATTTTCTTCTAATTTTTTAAATAAAACATAATTAAAAATTAAAATTAAAATTAAAATTTCTAACCAGGTCGGACTCGACAAGAACAAAATCAGGATTGTGATTAAATTCTATAAATACTAAGTTATCAACCAATCTCCTTCTAATTTTTTAAATAAAACATAATTAAAAAAAAATATTTTTTAACTGGATCGAACCCGACAAGAATAAAATGGGAATTGCGATTAAAGTTTACAAATACGATGTAATCAAGCGATCTCCTTCTAATTTTTTAAATAAAATATAATTAAAAAAATAAAAATTAATTTTTTTAAAATCAGATCCGGTTAAATGCATTTAGGTTTAAATCAAATCCGGACCAACCAGAACGGTAAAGAGGGACTCTGCTGTTCACGTGAACAGTAGAATTTCCTTCTTCACTATTCACTCAATTACATAAACAGTAAAAAGTTTGCTTTCCATTATACAAGTACAGAACAGGAGGAAGAAAAATAAAAAAATTGCTTCAACTAAACCTGCGATTTCACCTTATTTTTTATGAATCCCATTCCCCCAAACACAACCACACCTTATAACTAAACATTGTATTACTGAATTTTTTACAAAAAAAACCATCAGCTGTTACAGAGCCAAATGCCCACTAAGGTTCAAAACTCAGGCCCGCATCCTAAAACCCAATCACATCACAAACTCCCAGTCTGAAACCCTAGTTTTCATGCTACCAAACACTTAACCACAGCCCCTATATAGACAATAAAACCTTCACAGCCTGATATCGTCTCTTAGCCTGTCCACCTCCATCAGATCTTAAAATCCCATCTTGAGTTCTCCTTTTTTCTCCCTTTCTTCATTGTTTAACTCCATTTCTGCTTATGCGTTATGGTGTTTTGGTACACAAGAGGCTGCTTTTATTCAAGAAAAGAGTGCTGTGATGAAGCAAATTGTTTGTGGACTAGAGTTTCTGATCTGGGCTTCTTCTCCCGGAACTTGATTACTAACCCTTGGCTGTCTGAGCACCCTTCTTTTTTCTCTCATTCCTTTTATATCCCACTTCTTTTTCCCTTGGTTTTGCTTCTTTTGGGTTTGTTTTCGTGGGATAAATTTGGTGTTCTGGAGAAAAAGATTTTCCTTATGGGCAATCGGGCTTATGATGATAACAGTTATCTTAGCGGATTTCAGTGAGATTATTAAGTCAATGATCTGATTGTTACACACACTGAAGCCCTTCTAATTAAAATCCATTTCGTGATCGATGTTTTTAATTTTTAATTTTTTGGCTTTAATGGATTTTTTATCAAAAGGGATTTGTTGCTATGAAGAGGTTAAGCACTTGAAATGTGTTGAAGGGCAGTGGACAGGTACTTGAGTACTTGCCGTGAGCTTTCTTTAATAACGACTTCTCCTTCCACTGAGCTTCTAATCCCATTTTAAATACATTGATCTTAGGTTTAATTTTGTTTTCATTGTTAATTATGTGTTAAGTCATTGTGGGCTAATTATGTGAAATGCTGCGCCCATTACCAATTCTGGGGGATTATCGGTTCCTCTTGGCATAATGGCTCGGGTGCCATATCCAGTTTGTGGCCTATCCTGATTAATGGCTGATATCAGTGCCATCTAATCCTGGAAACACCACATACATTTTCTTGTCTAACAAACCCTTGCTTATAATCAAAAGTGAGGCTGTTGGGTTGATTGAACCTGATCACTTAAGGGTTTTCTAGAATTAAAAGTCTAATCAAGTAAAAAAATGAAACCTGGACACCGACGGTTTCCGGAGCAGACATGGAAACCCTTTCTTATGTGCCCAACGGCTATTTTTTGTACAGCTTTGTACCAATTTCCATTCGGAATCCGGAACAGACATGGAAACCCTTGCATTTCCTTTCTATAAAAAGACTTCGTTAGGTAAACAATTTCACACTTTCTCTGCTAATCGGTTTTCTTCCAACTCCAAGCAAGTATTTCAAGCGAAAGCATGGAGCCATCGTCATCTGCTGTCTATTCAACTCAGTTTCTTGCCAAAAAGGTTACTGTAGAGTTCATTATTGTCAAGGAATCTCATGTTGGCTTACAAGTTAGTAGACAACAATTCCTGTTGGGACTGTGGGAGTTGGTGTTGAGAAATCATAGATACAAGCAAATGTTTACCAACGCAGACATCAGTTTATCTTCAGCCATGAAAGCTACTCTGCACTTCGCCATCTCTGATCAAGCTCGTAAACTCCACGGTGAAATTGACCACATATTTGTCTGCGTTCTGCACCCGAGGTTCAATATCATGACTGGAATTCATGTTGATGAGGATAAGGCGGTCTCGTGGGATGCTGTCGAAAACCCTGAAAATCCTGTATTGCCAGCTTGCAAGCCACCGATTCCATGCTTGAAGAAAGTAAAGATTAAGCAACAAGATCTGGGTTCCATGAATGAAGAGCAATGCTGTGCAATTTGCTTGCAAGACTTTCCTGATGGGTCTGAAGCTGCTACTATTTGATGCTCTCACCTGTTTCATTGCCATTGCATTGTCAAGTGGCTATCCAGGAGCACTTCTTGCCCTATGTGTCGTTCTAAGCTGCCAGTTGGTTGATTCAAGGACCAAGATTTGTTGTCTTTTTTGTCTTCTCTTTCCTTGTTTTAAGGAACAGTGCTATGTTGTTGTCAAACTGGGTCCATTGTGATTGGATTACGGTTCGATCAAAGTCTGGTCAAATTAACTAAAGTCCGTCAAAATCAGCTAGGTTGATTGTTTTTTATTCGATTAATATCTTTTCTAATTCAATTAAGAATCTGAACCAAATCAGACTTTGGATCAAGTTTTTTATGACAATAATGTTTGATTAAATTAGTTTAACGACTGAAAAGATCAAATTGTTAGTTTCTCCTGGTATCCAGGCTCCAGTGCCGAATAAATTATACCCTAGCCTAATTAATGGTTAATTTTGTTGACACAAGACGCGCTTCTTTTACAAAAATCTCTCAACCTCTTACTGAGAAATACTCATGAAGACAAAGTACTCAACCTGATAATGGTTAAATTAATTAAGTATTTTTTTAACTCATTTTTCATCTGAAAAATATTAAAAAAAAAATTTAAAAAAATTATAATTTCAATGTTCTGATAGCAAAGATAAAAAAAATTAAAAAATAAATTATTTTAATATATTTTCATTTGAAAAAATATTATCGAAAACACATCTTTCCACAGTAACAAATATTCAAGTTTTCAATTTTTTTTAATTTTTAAAATGGTATGTTAGAAATTAAAAAAATGAAAACTGATTTAATTATTTTATTGGTATGTTTTTATGTTAAGTTCAGGGGCAATTTCATGGTCCTCGAAGAAACAACCTGTGGTCACTTTATCTACCACTGAAGCTGAGTTTATAGCCGCTGCATCCAGTGCATGTCAAGCAGTTTGGTTAAGCAGAATCTTGCAGCAACTTAATCATGAACCACGGAAGTCTACAACAATTTATTGTGATAATAGTTCAACTATTAAGCTTTCAAAGAATCCAGTGCTGCATGGGCGTAGCAAATATATAGATGTTCGGTTCCATTTTCTTCGAGAGCTCACCAAGGATGAAGTCGTTGAATTGATTCAGTGTTCTTCACAGGAACAGGCGACAGACATCATGATAAAGCCTTTGAAGCTCGATGTGTATCCGAACCTGAGGGAACTATTGGGTGTTTATCCATTCATGGATATAAACTGATTGCTAATAGCACTTAGTTTAAGGGAGAATGTTAAGATTTTCTGTTAAGATTTCCTAGTTGTAAGTGTTAGTTATCCTTTATTGCAGATTGTTTCCATTATTGTTAATAAGACCTATTTTTTAGAAATAAGTTGTTTGATAAGATTTGACTTAATTA